CCCCCCCCCCCATGTCAACGCCCCCGTCCCATACTTTATGTATCGGCGCCATGTTTCCTCCACGTTGCGTTTTTGATGATACGTAAAATTCATGTCTCCTAAAATCTGTAACCAAAGTTTTTGAAGAAAAACGGAATAGTTTTTGCTACTGCTGCGCAACACGTTATTATTATTATTTTTTTTTAAAAAAGGAGGCTTTATTTGTAAGCATTTGAGAATTTTGTTGACAGCCGGCAACCATGATGAAGCCAGAGTGATAGACACCATTAATTAACACCCTGGGGGGGTGGGAGGGGGCTGGGTTTGCTAGTCATTAGGCTAACATACTTTCAAAGAAACTATTTCAGAACATTGAAAAAAAAAAAAAAAAAAAAAAAAGATTATTTGGTGGGAGTCTTCAATATAAAGTCAAACTTTTCTTTCATTCAAGGAATATTTAAGGTCTAAAACTGTTGTTTTTTTTGTTGTTGTTTTTTTTTTAAATTTTAAATGGAACGACCTACGTTCACTTCCGGATCCGATATATCAATACATACTGTGTCCGGAAAAAGAGGGAAACCCTTTTTCGATGATTGATTGGTTAATGGAGAGCGCGTAGTGTACCACTGTGTTGGAGCTAATGGTGGACATTTGGAATACAAACTTTCGTGGTAGTTTTTTTTTTTTTTTAAATAAATTTAAGTTAGAATAAAAATGAGTTTTGAAATTAAAAAAAAAAAAAAAAAAAAAAAAAAAANAACATGTGTCTACTGGGTCGTACCCCAAGCGTCGTGGTGAAATAGAAGTTTTCTAAACATGTGTCTACTGGGTCGTACCCCAAGCGTCGTGGTGAAATAGAAGTTTTCTAAACATGTGTCTACTGGGTCGTACCCCAAGCGTCGTGGTGAAATAGAAGTTTTCTAAACATGTGTCTACTGGGTCGTACCCCAAGCGTCGTGGTGAAATAGAAGTTTTCTAAACATGTGTCTACTGGGTCGTACCCCAAGCGTCGTGGTGAAATAGAAGTTTTCTAAACATGTGTCTACTGGGTCGTACCCCAAGCGTCGTGGTGAAATAGAAGTTTTCTAAACATGTGTCTACTGGGTCGTACCCCAAGTGTCGTGGTGAAATAGAAGTTTTCTAAACATGTGTCTACTGGGTCGTACCCCAAGCGTCGTGGTGAAATAGAAGTTTTCTATACATGTGTCTACTGGGTCGTACCCCAAGCGTCGTGGTGAAATAGAAGTTTTCTAAACATGTGTCTACTGGGTCGTACCCCAAGTGTCGTGGTGAAATACACGTTTTCTATAACACATGTCTACTGGTATTCTCTACACAGCGGCCCCTCCTGGTCATGTGTAGCCTACCGTGGCCCCTGGTGGATCTCGTCAATTCAAATCAGACACACGCATGATGATATATTTAAATTGTGCCTTATCTGAAAGTATACCATAACTGTAAGACCGACACAACGAGAGCACGTATGAATTAAAAAAAAAAAGCACCAAAAAAACAACCAAACAAGAAGAGTATGATAAGGGAAAATCCGTTGGTCTCTTGTATAACAGGCCCGCCTTCCCTCCCAGCACAGCGGAGTTCACCTGGCCACCACCAATATCTCGTGTTACGTCTAGACCCCACAGCCGAGAAATGGCACACCGGGGGCGGAATTTTACCGGTGCGGATTTATTCATTTACAGGTGAATATCGCTTGCACGGCAGTCCTTAATCCGGTAATCCCGAGATAATCCCACATATAAATTTTCAACAGGCTACAAGCATCCAATTCATGTTTCCCTCTAAGCTGGTAAACTGACCACCCGCTGGTGATATCCCAACAGGCGGTGTAAAAAAAAACGTTTTTTTTTGCGCCATGACAAAAATTCCCACCCGTATTAATAAAAACCCGTCTGTACCTCAACATTCGAAACGACAGATATCTATCTATTTTTTTTACAAGATCACCGATGGTATGACATGCCGCCAGGAGAAAGACGTTGGTTTAGTGTCGTGCATACATTTTATCCCGTTGTTCACATTTATTGTTTTTACAAAAAAAACAACAACAGATCTTAACCAAGCCACTGAAACCGTAGACCAGTTACAGATATGGTGACTCTGCTGGCCCGTGGTCACTTCTGTTCATTACTGGGGGGGGGGGGGGGGGGGGGGGTGGGGGTCGCTTGCTTTTTATTAAAAAAAAACAACTTTAAGACTTAACATATTTTGTTCCACTTATTGATTCATTAATTTATTTAACGTTTCTTCTCTATCTAATAAGCTGAATTTTTTCTATTGCTTTTTTAATGAGGTTATTGTGAAATGAAATTAAACAACGCTTACAAACATATTTCTTTCGTATAAATCCTTTATAAAATTTCATATCGAGCAAAAGAGTAGGGGAATGAGGTTGAACATCTGACAAAACATGCATATGACAGAATAACATTTGACAGAATGCTTTGTGTATTGGTCACGAGTCTATGGGCCAAGTTTCAGCTCGATAGCTGGACGGGAAGTGGGACAAAAAAAACGTTCAAAGATTTTCGCCGCCCGCCCAACCAACAAGTCAGCCAGCCAGCCAGCCAGCCAGCCAGCCAGCCACCCAACCAACCAGTCAGCC